GCAATACAAGCATGTAAATCACATGAGAGATGGTACAAGGAATTTTTCTTAGGGCATATGGTTGCAATTACATCTAGGAATTTTTCTGATTTGACGATGGCTTGAGAGATGGTGAAAACGACCATTAAGCAAGGAAAGAAAAAAAGAGGTAGGTCAAGTAGAAAACCTCACATGAAGAAGAGAGAATGAGAGATTAACAACATCAACGCTTTCAACACCAGGAAAAAACGTTACGATCTCTAAATTGAAACCAACTGCATATGTATCGTCAGGTACTTCTAGACAAGATTCGAGGGAATCAATGAGAGAAAGAAGAAAGGAACATTTCGATCATATTCCCTTGACATATAAGGAGTTTTATCAATAGCTTTTTGACACACATGTGGTGTCACCATATCCAAAGGAACCTCTAAAGCCCCCATATACCCTAGGTGGTATGATGAAAATGCACACTGTGAATATCATGGCGGTGTCCAGGGCATGCTATTGAAAACTGCCTCGCCTTTAAGAGAATTGTCTGAAGAATGTGCAACATGAACTGGATTCATTTCAACAATTCAGAATCACCCAACGTTACACAGAACCCTCTGTCTAATCACCAAGAGAATGGGGAAAATGTAATCACCAAGGAGAAGGGTAAGAAAGTCAAAACCAAAGTTTCCGAAGTGAAGTCACCTCTGGCTTGGGTATGGAGGCAAATAATAAATGTGGGGTTTCTTGCACTGCATCCTAGCACATCAGATTGCAAAGGTGGCAGTCATTGCTGTTATCACAATGAAGACGGACATGATGTACAAGAATGTGTCAAATTTAGAGCCTTGATCCAGCTAATGATGGACATAAAAGAGCTGGAATTTTACGATGAAAGAAAGGACACTCCCGAAGCAGATCTTTGTGAAATTGGAGATGCATTTGAAAAGTGAATGCCATAATCGAGGAACGAGGTATCTTGGGATGAGACAAGAGAAGATCATCACTATTACTACAGAGTTGTGTTACCTATTGTTATGTATGGCTCATAAAAAGTCTCGTTGTGGGGTTACGAATTATGTGGGTTGGGGGTGTGGGGGCGCAGCCCCCGCGGTACGGTACAGGGTTGATTTTGTAATTATGTACCAGGGTTTTCTATTATAAATAGAGATGTAACCTAGACCTAAAAGATCATTGAATAAAACTTCTAGCGCCGCCTAGGCACCGAGGACGTAAGCACATTGTCGAACCTCGTAAAATTCTCGTGTTCTTTCGTTTTCTTTACCCGTTTTCGTCAACAATTGGTATCAGAGGTCAGGAGCAAAATTTGAAGTCGCGAAATTCGATGGTCAGGGTAACTTCGGATTATGGCAAACGAGGGTGAAGGATCTATTGGCGCAGCAAGGGATCTTGAAGGCTTTGCGACCTACAAAGCCGGCGTCGATGGATGAGGAAGATTGGGAAGAATTGCAGCAGCGAGCGGCAGGAACCATACGATTATGCTTGGCGGACGAGGTCATGTATCACGTCATGCATCTATCGTCTCCAGACGAAATTTGGAGGAAGTTGGAAAGTCAGTTTATGTCCAAATCCTTAACGACAAAACTGTATCTGAAGCAGCGGCTGTATTGGGCTGAAGATGCAGGACGATCACGATTTGGCGCAACACATGAATGTCTTCAATCAAATCGTTTCTGATCTGGCTCGGCTTGATGTGAAAATTGAGGATGAAGACAGAGCGATGATTCTGTTGTGTTCGTTGCCTTCCTCTTACGAACACATGGTGACTACTCTTACATATGAAGCGAGACTGTCCGTCAATTGAGGATATGCGCCTTGCTCATCTTAGTGAACGTGGTATGGCAGAATTACACAAGAGAAACTTGTTGCATGGTGTCAAAAGCTGTAAGCTCGATTTTTGCAAGTATTGTGTTCTTGGTATACAGACTAAAGTCCGTTTCAAGACTGCGAAGCACACAACTCAAGGGATTCTTGATTATGTGCATTCTGATGTATGGGGGCCTTCCACGACATCGTCTTTGGGTGGATCTAGGTACTATGTTACTTTTATTGATGATTTTTCACGGAAAGTTTGGGTGTATTTTTTGAAACAGAAATCTGAAGTTTTTGAGAAGTTCAAGCTGTGGAAAGCTGAGGTAGAAAACCAAACAGGACGAAAAATCAAGTGTTTGCGGTCTGATAATGGTACGGAGTACACAGATTCACAGTTCCTACAATTCTGTAAGGAACATGGGATTCAGAGGCATTTTACAGTGCGCAAGACACCACAACAGAATGGTGTTGCGGAACGAATGATCAGGTCGTTGAATGAAAGAGCCAGATGTTTGCGGTTGAATACGGGGCTTCCCAAACACTTCTGGGCTGAGGCTGTTAACATGGCGTGTTACCTTATCAACAGATCGCCAAGGGCATCGCTGGCTGGGAAAGTTGCAGAAGAGGTATGGACTGGTCATGATGTTAGTTTTGATAACTTACGGATTTTTGGTTGTCCTGCTTATGTGCATGTACCTGCTGATGAGAGATCCAAACTTGATGCAAAATCGAAGGAGTGCATTTTTCTGGGTTACAATAAAGGTGTCAAAGGATTCAAGTTCTGGGATCCAGTTGCGAAGAAAGTTGTGATTAGTAGAGATGTCGTTTTTGATGAACAGTCTATGTTGCAGCAGAAGCAAGACACGACAGTGGTAGATTTCGAACAGTTTCCAGTTGAGAAACCAGAAACTTCTTAACCGACTTCTGGTGGTTCCACTACGGATGATTTGCAGGATTATAGTCTCGCCAGAGACAGGGTGAGACGGACGAATATAAAGCCTCCGAACATATTGGGTTTTGAAGACTTGGTATCTTTTGCACTTACTGTTAGCAGTGATGATCCAGTTACTTTTCATGATGTCGTTACTAGTCAGGAAAACGACAAGTGGATGGCAGCCATGGTTGAGGAGATGGAGTCTTTGAATCACAATCGCACATGGGAGTTAGTTCCCCTTCCTGAGGGTAAGAAGCCGATTGGTTGCAAATGGGTGTATAAGAAGAAACCAGCAAACAGAAAAAGAGGGGGGAGAAGTTCAAGGCTCGTTTGGTAGCGAAGGGTTTTTCACAGCAGAAAGGAGTTGATTATGATGAAATCTTTTCTCCTGTGGTCAGGCACACTTCAATCTGAGCAGTACTTGCATTGGTGGCTAGTTGGGATTTGCATTTAGAGCAGATGGATTAAAACTGCTTTTTTGCATGGTGATTTAGAGGAGCAGATCTACATGCGGCAACCTGAAGGTTTCACTCAACCTGGAAACGAGCATTTAGTTTGTAGATTGAAGAAATCTTTGTACGGGTTAAAACAGTCTCCGAGACAGTGGTATAAACGGTTTGACTCCTATATGATCAAGATTGGCTACAACCGATGTGAGTATGATTGTTGTGTCTATGTTAAGAGCCTTGATGATGGTTCTTTTATTTTTCTATTACTGTATGTTGATGATATGTTGATTGCTGCGAAGAACATGGATGATGTTATCGGTTTGAAAACTTTATTGAGTCAGGAATTTGATGAAAGATTTAGGTGCTGCAAAGAAAATTCTTGGAATGGAAATTTGCAGGGACAGAGACTCAAGGAAACTGCGGCTATCTCAACGGGTTATGTTGAGAAAATGCTAGAAAGGTTTGCGATGAGCAGCGCGAAACCAGTTAGCACTCCATTGGCGAATCACTTTAAGCTCTCATCAGAACAGTGCCCTAAGACAGATAAGGAAGCTGAAAAATATGGCAAAGGTTCCGTATTCTAATGCTGTTGGCTGCTTGATGTATGCGATGGTATGTCGTCCTGATTTAGCTCATGCTGTTAGTCAAGTTTGTAAGTACATGTCTAAACCTGGTAAGCAATTGGGATGCAGTCAAGTGGATCTTTCGGTACTTAAAGGGTACTGTGGGACATGGAATTGTTTTTGGGAGTCAGCGGGATAATCCTTTGGTTGTAGGATATGTGGATTCAGATTATGCAGGTGACTTGGATAATAGAAGATCTACGACAGGGTATGTTTACTCTTGGTGGAGGGCCTATTTGCTGGAAGTCTACTGTTCAATCTGTCGTGGCACTATCTACAACTGAAGCTGAATACATGGCAGCGGCTGAAGCTGCAAAAGAAGCTTTATGGCTTACTGGTTTAGTGAAGGAGTTGGGTGTTCAACAAGGTGGAGTTCAGTTGCTTTGTGATAATCAAAGTGCTATTCACTTGGCTAAGAATCAGGTGTATCGTGCTAGAACTAAACATTGATGTAAGGTTCCACAAGATCAGAGAGTTGGTTGCATCTGGAGAGGTTTTGTTTCAGAAGGTACATACTGATGAGAATGCCGCTGATATGTTCACCAAGCCAGTTACGACAGACAAGTTCAAGCATTGCTTGGACTTGTTGAATGTTTTCGAGTTGTTAAAGAAGCAAGGTAACCCAACCCACATTTAAGTTTCCAAGGGGCAGGATATTCGCCAAGGTGGAGATTTGTTATGTATGGCTCATAAAAAGTCTCGTTGTGGGGTTACGAATTATGTGGGTTGGGGGTGTGGGGGCGCAGCCCCCGCGGTACGGTACAGGGTTGATTTTGTAATTATGTACCAGGGTTTTCTATTATAAATAGAGATGTAACCTAGACCTAAAAGATCATTGAATAAAACTTCTAGCGCCGCCTAGGCACCGAGGACGTAAGCACATTGCCTATGCCGAGATCAAATTCCTTTAAAAAAAAAAAAGGATTCATATCTTTTACCCAAAAAAGAAAAATGTTTTCTCATGTCTACATATAGTATGATCAATAAATAAGAAATTTGATAATTGTTTGGTGGCTAATGATAAAGTTTACCCTTTTGTTTTTTTGTTTAATAATTTTTTTACATTATGTAAATTAAGACATGTTATAAAGTTACTAGAACCATTATTATTGCTAATCAAATTGTTTAACCTTCTTTAAAATCTTCCATTGAATAAGAGCCGACAGAAGATTTACACTTCGAATTTTGTCAATGGATAGCATTTACAAGAACCCAGATGCACTCGTAGAGGATCGAGTCAAAGACCTTCTTTCTCGAAGAACTATACAAGAAAAAATGGGCCAAATGACTCAAATCGAGCGAACTGCTGCCACTCCTGCTGCTCTCAAAAGCTTTTCGATCGATACCATTTCTCTCTTAGGCATTTTTTCATGCAGTTTGTTGATATTTTCTCTTCCCTATGCTTCCTTAAAGTTTATATCACTAGTTCATTAAGCCATACCATTTACTGACAAAATGCATGCGCAGACATGATACATAGATTTTGTACTTTCATATATTTGACAAAAGGATTGCATGAATGAAATGATCATACTTGTTTTGTGTCTTCCAATAACCAACGAGTGAGATGCTTTTTATTACCAAATTCATGTGATGTAAGCATTGGATTGATTTTTTAAATATTATTTTAGGTACGACCATCTTGGATGCCATTAGAGAATCTGTAGGAGATAGAACAGAGGTGATCTATGATCAATATCCCTCAACAAACTTCTTAGCAGGAAAGTACTATTTTGCCATTGTAGTTGTAGGTGAACCACCTTATGCGGAAACTCGGGCGACAATGAAGAGCTTGTAGTCCCTCTCAATGGAAGTGATATAATCAGTTTGGTTGCCGACAAAATCCCCACATTGGCAATGCTGATATCCGGAAGACCCTTGGTTTTAGAACCTCGAGTTTTGGAAAAAGTCGAAGCATTAGTTGATGCTTGGTTTCCTGGAACTGAAGGAAGGGGTATAACAGATTTAGTATTCGGAGATTTCAAATTCAATAGCAGATTACCAATGACGTGGCTTAGAAGCACCAAACAGCTACCGATGAATCCCAGGCATAATTCATATGACCCTTTGTTTCCCCTAGGGTTTGGATTGACATACAATATGGAGAGGAAACATCAAGAGTACACAAGTTCAGGGCATGCTGCTGGTCTTAGATTTATGGATAATCAATGGGATAAACAATTGTTCTATCAGTACGCTTCTTATTTGTTGTTGTACCACTTGTATATTGCCTGTAAATGTTTGTGCTCAAACACATTGTCATTATAAAGCTATGAACTAAAGTCTGGTTCAACATTGCCTTTATAAATGAAACGTGATCCAGCTTTAATCAAGCTTTGGCCTCAAATTTCAAGGCTAGCTTGAGACTAGTACAGCTTGAGCTCGACACAGTTACACCCAACGTAAGCACGTAACTGGGATATCAAACAAGAAATAATATGCAACATTTAAAAGGGTTAACAGAACCATTGATAAACACACATCATCCTGGAAAACTCCAATTCCAAACAAGAAACAAAGAAAACCATGCAAAACCCTCCACAATTTAACCGAGCTTAACAATCTGAACACCATTGCAGAAAACCACTTCACTAAGCACCGTTCCCTTTCTCTTGAAGCTCTGAAATAACTTCATTCCTCATCCTGAGCCCAAGCTTCATTGCTTCCTGCTCAAACTCTTTCTGATAATTAAACGAATCTTTATCAGTCTCAATTATACCTTTGGGGCCAAGCGTCGTCCCAATCATGCCTCCCTTGGCAATGAACTCTTCCATGGCCTCAGCATCACCGGGATAAGGAAACTCTCTGCGCTCATATAAACGGGCTAACTCCCTTTCTTCCTTCGGCCTAGGCTTCAATGTCCACCACCCCAGCGGCGACGTTTCATTGTAGTGCCATGAGACGCCGAAGAGCGTGTACCTGCACAACAATGCTTTCCCAATTAGTTTCCAAAAGTGATGATCTTCTCTGCCTAATCCTATCTTCCTCAAAGTTTTATCCACATCTATCGATTTCAACAACTGGAACCCTGGAATTTTGAGAGAGAAAAGAAACTAGTTTCATTTAGGCATTTCATCAAACGCGTTGAAGTCAACTAATTGAAGGAAAAATAACGCTAACTTGCTCATCATTTGACGATGGAATTTTACCTGTTTTAGCTTCCTGATATTGTTTCCGAACCATTGCTTTAAGAGACGAAAACCCCGCTGATCAAGAAATAATTGGAGTGCGTCGGATGATAACACACAAGAAAGGATGAAAAAGTATTTGTTTTTTGTTGCAATAAAAAATGAATTGAAAAATGTAGGGATAAATTTGAAAATAAATTATTTTGAGATTTATTAAATAATTGTATATAGTATAAGGTGAGGTAAAATAATAGGCTGTCTCTAACGTGAAGATGAGAACATATTCCAGAAAGACCTCCGACGGTTAAAGAGCATTGCTCTACCAACTGAACTGAAAATAATCGTATAGTTAAGAAAATTTATATTATCTTGTTTCGAAAGAAAAATCAATGAACAAAGCTAAAATTAATGTGGCCATCCTTGTAGTTTACTCGATTATTTTCAGGGTTTACTAAAAAGGTTGGCTTTGGGGTCTCCATCAGCCGAAAAAGGTCAAGCAAAGACATGAAATCCGTGAAAATAGCCCATTCTATTCTCAGATCCGTCGGATCGGCTTCTCTTTCGGCGCGCTTTACATTTAATCCAACCACGTGTTCACTGCCTTGTCCGACTCCCAAACAAGCTAGCGAACATGGCTTCCTCCACGCCTTCTCGGAAACAAACAATTTTTTCATTCCAAAATCTAATTATTTGATTTAAAATATCTCATTTCAACCGCATATTATCAGCCCAAAAAATATCTTTACTTCGCCACTTGCGTTGGGAAATTTTGGAACTTTCGTTTGGAGAAAAATTATAAAAAGATTTTTATAGTGAGTTTCCACTATCTACACAACACTCTTTTCATTCACTCAATTTTATTTTTTCTTCTTCTAAATTTTAAGTTCATTATTGTTATTGTTAAGCAGATTTGAAAATGGCTGAAAACGGCAAATCTAAAACGGAGAAAGTACCGGCAGCTGCGCATCCGTTAAGCCAGAATCCGACGGAAATCGCATCGGATATCAATTACCACGTGCAGTTCAATCCTCATTTCTCTCCGCTCAAGTTTGAGCCAGAACAAGCGTTCTTTGCTACGGCCGAGAGCGTTCGCAGTCGTCTCATCAAAGTATTTAGTGTGTCCTTGTTTTGTGTTCTTTAATTTATTTTCTTTGTACAAGTCTTTTGGCTAATTATGGATTTTTTTTGTGAAGCAATGGGAGGACACTTTCTGGCATTTTGGCAGAGCTAATCAGAAACACACTTATTACTTCTCAATGGAATTTCTTCAAGGACGAGCTTTGACTAATGCGGTTGGGAATCTCGGCATTGAAAATGCTTACGCCGAGGCTTTGAGTAAGTTGGGACATGAACTCGAAGAGGTTGTTGAGCAGGTAATTCGTAAATCAACTAAGTCATATTTATTTTGTTAATTGCTACCTTTTTCAGAAAATTTTATATCAAACAATTAATGTGCAGATAATCGGAAGAAGCCTATTTTAGTTTTAAATTGCATTATTTTTATGACTGAAAATTTTGCAGGAAAAAGATGCTGCTCTTGGAAATGGTGGTTTGGGAAGACTTGCTTCTTGTTTTCTCGATTCAATGGCAACGTTGAATATGCCTGCTTGGGGTTATGGTTTAAGGTATAAATATGGGCTTTTCAAACAGCGGATCACTAAACAAGGACAAGAGGAAGTTGCGGAAGATTGGCTTGAAGTCGGTTCAGCTTGTCTCTCACCTTGAAGTTGCATAGATGTCCTGGAATATGCACTGATGTTTCTATTTTGATTGGGATTTTTTTGCAGAAGTTTAGTCCTTGGGAGGTTGTTAGGCATGATCTAGTGTATCCTGTCAGATTCTTTGGAAGTGTTGAGGTTAATCCAGATGGGTCGTAAGTGTTAATTTAAGACATGATATGCTATGTTTGGTTGATATTTTAACTTGGTTTTGTTTTAAACTTACCCAAAATTTGCAAAGTTAGTTCATGCATTTTTAATAATAATAAAAAAAAAGGTATGTTCAGTTTTAGTTTGCAATTGCTCAATATTACTAGTTTCTCCGATGCACTTTTGCAATTAAGTTTTGGGAGCAAAAGCAAGTAGTAAAAGAAACAGCCAGATGGAGGTTTAGAACTTTATTATGCTGGTGATTTCCTGGTCTGAATGTCATTGTCAATTGCTTTGGTTTTCATATGAATATGAATATGGATTTCACTAACATTTCATTGATTTATGTTATTTGATTTAAATGCATTGCAGTCGAAAATGGATTGGAGGAGAGGTAGTGCAAGCTCTGGCTTATGATGTTCCAATTCCGGGATATAAAACCAAAAATACAATAAGTCTTCGCCTCTGGGAAGCAAGATCTCGTGCTGAGGATTTCAATCTTTTTCAGTTTAATGATGGACAATATGAATCTGCTGCACTGCTTCATGCTAGAGCTGAACAGGTGAATTACTAAGACCATTATTGAAAAGCTGGTCTTGAAAGCCTTCATATTGCAGGGTGAACCTACTATGCTAATTATGGAAGATAATCTATTTCATTGATGGTCTCTGGGTACAGAATGATATTAATCACCAAGCTTCTAAATTGATTCAGTTGACTAGCTTATATAAGCTTCTGAAAATAATTGTCTACATTTCATACACTCATCTCACCACATGTTACTTGGGACCTACAATATATGTACTTTGTACTTGCAGATATGTGCTGTTTTGTATCCTGGAGATGCTACTGAAAATGGGAAGCTTTTACGTCTGAAACAACAATTTTTCCTCTGTAGTGTTTCATTGCAGGTTAGTTGATACAGTTATTGCTTTCTTTCAATGTCATTTCTGGTTTTTTGATTCTTCTATTGCTTTTTTTCCTGTTGTTACTGGCCTCTTTTGTTAGCGCATTCTTGTAAGCAAAGGAACATTTGTAAATAACATATGACAGAGGTTTATTGCATGTAAAAGTTACTGCATGCTTTATAGAATTCGGGCGTGATATAATATGTTTTGAAAGAATAATCTCGGTCATAGTTCCATGTGAGAATTTTCTGGTCAAATAAGTTTGAAGTGTATATGAATTCTAAATATGAAGGTACACCTTTTCTGCTATGAAGAATGCCACAGTTCTTACTGAGATCATTTTCTCCCAATTCAACAATTTCATGAGCTTTTGATTTCTTCTGCTAGAATTTATTATATTGGTCTTGAATCTCAATATTGGATTATTCCAGGACATTATTTCCAGATTCAAGGTTCAAAGAGGTGGATACACGTGGTCTGAATTTTCCAGCAAGGTAGCTGTACAACTGAATGATACTCACCCTACACTTGCAATTCCTGAGCTGATGCGCTTATTAATGGATGATGAAGGACTTGGGTGGGATGAGGCTTGGGAGGTGACAACAAGGTGCCTAGTTCAACTTCTGAGAGTGTTTATAGTAGCTTCTGTTGCTTTTATGGCATATTTTGCTATCAGATTTTTTTTAACATAAGTAAATGTAAATAACTGAATCAGGACAATTGCTTATACCAATCATACTGTCCTTCCTGAAGCATTAGAAAAGTGGTCTCAACCAGTCATGTGGAAGCTTCTTCCTCGCCACATGGAAATCATAGAAGAAATTGACAAAAGGGTGATTCACTTGTCTTTTCTTTTCTATTTGTTAAGAGTGTTCTAATTGCAAATTTTAAGTTTTTGCAGTTTCTTGCAATGATCAAGGACACCCGTCCTGATCTTGAGCATAAGCTTCCTAGCATGCGCATCTTGGATCATAATCCCCAGAAACCAGTAGTGAGGATGGCAAACTTATGTGTGGTGTCTGCACATACAGTAAGTAAAATCATTCTACGATAGCCACTAAGACTATAAAATTGTAGTCGGAAACTCTATTTTTGTCTTTCTTTCATAAATCAAAAAGTACTACTTTTCAGCTGTTCAACGATATTGCACGTGATATTCAAAATTAACTTAGTGTTTTTGGCCTCTTTTAAGGTGAATGGTGTAGCGCAGCTGCACAGTGACATCTTAAAGGATGAGTTGTTTGCTGATTACGTCTCTATATGGCCTAACAAGTTCCAAAATAAGACTAATGGCATTACTCCACGTCGATGGCTTCGGTTTTGCAATCCAGAGCTCAGTAACATAATCACCAAGTGGCTAAAAACTGATCAATGGGTGACCAACCTTGACCTGCTTTCTGGTCTTAGAAAAGTATGCATCAGGATAATTCTATGGACTATACATTCTTTATCTTTTTCAAACTTATAGCTGCAGTAATGTTGCATATTGAACTTATGCTTCTCCAACAGTTTGCCGATGATGCAAAATTTCAAGACGAATGGGCATCTGCTAAGATGGCTAATAAGCAACGTTTGGCACAATACATATTGCGTGTAACAGGAGTAAGTATTGATCCAAACAGTTTATTTGACATACAAGTTAAGCGGATTCATGAATACAAGAGACAGCTGCTGAACATTTTGGGTGCAATCTATAGGTACAAGAAGTTAAAGGTATCAAAGCATACTAATCATTATTGGCATTTTGTTCGCTTAATATAATTTCATTTCCGACATTTCAACCAATGCAATATGCCTTTTCTATTGCTATCGTGTATGTGCACATTTTTCAATCCTATTGCTGCCTTTAATCAAATTATGCTATGAAAACGACTTGAGAATAAACTTACCTACTTAAGAACTCAAACTAATTGCTTCACCTTCTATGAGCTTTCATATATCTCACTTTTCATTAATTTCATTGATTTTAGATCATTTTTTGGGCTTTACTTGATGCTTATATCAACTCAAAGTCGATGACAATTTACACTGATTTATTTTCCTGAAACTAATTTATGGTAGGAGATGAATCCTGAGCAGCGGAAAAATACAACTTCTCGCACTATTATGATAGGAGGAAAAGCATTTGCTACTTATACAAATGCTAAACGTATAGTCAAATTGGTGAATGATGTTGGTGAAGTAGTCAACAATGATCCTGAAGTTAATAGTTACTTGAAGGTGAATTAATTATTTTTCTACTCGTATTTTCAAGATCTTTATTGTGTAGGTTTGAACTCCTTTTCCCATTTCTGCTACATCAATATTTTGTATCATATTTGTTATTTGTGGAACTTTGAAGACTGTGTTATTTAGCAAAGTAACCAGCGCAATTGACATAACGTATTCGTAGTGTAAATGGAAAGTAGTTATAATTGCGTAATTGGTACAAAATTCCTCAAGTCTAGGGCCTCAGCAGACTCTGATATTTCTCATATGTTATTTGGTAAACGTTTTGATGTGTTAATTCTTTTGTTCCAATTATGTCTGATTCATCCTACAAAACAGTATGTTCTGAACTTATCATTCTTTTGTTGTTCTATCATCGGGAATTTTCAGGTGGTATTTGTTCCAAACTACAATGTATCCGTAGCTGAAATGCTTATTCCAGGAAGCGAACTTTCCCAGCATATTAGTACTGCAGGTATGGAGGCTAGTGGGACAAGCAACATGAAATTTGCTCTAAATGGCTGCCTCATAATCGGAACACTGGACGGTGCTAATGTGGAAATCCGAGAGGAAATTGGGGAGGAAAATTTCTTTCTTTTCGGTGCAAGAGCTGATGAAGTCCCTAGGTTGCGCAAGGAGCGAGAGAACGGATTGGTATGAATTCTGATTTATATATCTATCCATATACGTTTCTCCGATTGTCTGAAGCTGAAAGTTGTTGAAAATGCTAGTTAGCCATGCACGTTGTAACTATTTGCATCGTTTTACCCTAGTGTAATACTACTTCCATCTTATACAATAGTTCAAACCCGATCCTCGGTTTGAAGAGGCCAAGCAATACATAAGAAGTGGAGCATTTGGAAGTTATGACTACAACCCACTTCTCGACTCTCTAGAGGGTGACTCGGGTTACGGCCGAGGTGATTATTTCCTTGTTGGTCATGATTTCCCAGATTACTTGGATACTCAAGCCAGAGTAGATGAAGCTTACAAGTAAGTCTTTTTGGTTTTAAGCTGAATGGTTCGAGTTACATGAAGAAAATTATCCATGCTATATGTTGTGACATTTCAGGGATCGGAAGAGGTGGCTAAAGATGTCTATACTAAGCACAGCTGGGAGCGGCAAGTTCAGCAGCGACCGGACTATAGCTCAGTATGCCAAGGAAATCTGGAACATCCAGGAGTGCCGTGTGCCGTAGTTCCTATGGCTTTCGGATTTCCTTTCCTACATAATTTGTGTTTAGCAAAACGAAAATAAGCGAGAAACCCTGCGTCTCCATTTCCACTCAGTTGTGTTTTTACTGAATTGTTTCTCACTAATTTTGGACTGCTTTCATCATAGTAAGCAGGATTAAATCCTTAGACACCTTGAAAATATTAAGAATATATTTTTATATTATATACATAGCTAGTTCATATACATGCTTTGTTTGGAAAATGTTTTTTTTTTGTCTATATTAATCTATCTTTGCATTTGATATTTTTTTTGGTAATGAATGAAAAATAACTGTTAGAGTAATATTCTAAGACTAGGCCATTCAACTATATCTGCCTAATATTTTAACTAACTATATCTGCCTAATATTTTAAATAACTATATCTGCCTAATATTTTTAATTTCATGATAAGTTGTTTTTTTTAAATATTAAGGTATTTATTTTATGTAAAAAATTGGCTATAAGATAAATATTAAAAGTGAAATAATTTGTTTATGTTTGCAAAATTGATAAAAAATAAAAAATACATAATTATTAATATTAAATAAAATATATATTTTTTAGAAAATATTTAAAATGTCAATTACCATTAGGAAGAGTTTATAGCGCACGTTACTAATTGCAACGTACCACTAAAGCGATGTATCGATGCGTATCATAAACAAATTTTTCCTTATTATACAAATACTAAAAAAATAAAGATTTATTTAAAATTAATTGTTAATTAAAATTCAATACTATTTTTAATAGATTTATAATTTAATAATGATTTTTATTTCTTTTAATAGATACTAAAAAATTTATAAGAACTTATGATTGACACCAACATGATCTCTAGTTTCATATCATTAACAATTCCACTTTTAATTGCAATAGTAAAAATCATAAAATCAGTGAAATAGTGAGTGTTAATTAACAAAAAAAATATGAATGGTGGCATAAACAAAAGTCTAAATTTATTTAAATATTATTTTTAATATTACCTTTAATATCTTTGATTTCTTTAGGAGATAATTGTTGGAAAAAGGGTGAATTTAATTGATGTATTTAATATTCATATTAAATTCATAGTTTTTATTATTATTGTAAATTAAAAGATTATTTTTAATTTTAATATTGGTAGGATAATTACTCTTTTAATAAATCAATTTAAAAAGTATTTTTTATCTTTTTAATTTTGAATATTAAAGATAATTATATATTTTTGTATATTTCAAATTAAAATCATATTTGCTTAAGTTTGAATAGTAAAAGGAGTTTATCATTTGACCGTTGCAGATTAAATATATTATTTAATTTGAATATTAGTAGGATAATTACTCTTTGAAGTTTAACTTCTTTGTTTGATTTTCTCATGTTTGATTTCGTCTCATATTATTTATGTGGTCAACAATCTTAAAGACAACTTATACCTTTCATTTTTATAATGATATTTATTTATTATTATTTTCTATGTCATTCTCGGGTTAATGCACGATTTTTCTAACAAGAATTGCTATGGCCAGAGTTAGATCAACTTCTTAGAGGTGAATAAGATGAAAAGACTGTGTCTACCCTATATACAGCTGTTATTCCCGACTCCCCGAGTATAGAGTAGTGATTCGTGATCCTTCTGTGATTCACATCGAGGATAATCACTCAAATATCACAAATGGGAAATCTTCACATGACATCCACCATCCTTGCAGGTAATAAGCAGGGATGTGTGTTGTCTTGGTTTTCTCCCCCACATCCACCTTTTGTTTCCATTTTGAGATCATCATTAAATGATCTGCACACAGTTAATGTTGCCGTTAAGAAAGAGCTCCACAAGCCTGAATCTGATGGTTCTTGCGTGCATATGGAATTTGACATATCAGGGACTGGTATAACGTAAGTTCAAAGCTTTCTAATGTTTGCTACTCTATAAAATTGATTTCCTGGAATTCCATGTGAAAGTAGTATTAATATTTTTGCTGCGTTTAAGTGCTTTTGACATCACATATTTTGGCCTTAAAAAGAAAGAATGAAAGATAACACTGCTTTCTGATTTTATGATCTTTTACTATTGCAATTAATAAGTGAAACAGTTACAGGTATAAAACTGGAGATCATGTCAGTGTCAATCATAGTTCGTATATTTTTTTAATATCTATTAAAAGAAATCAAAATCATTATAAATCTATTAAAAGTAATATTAAATTTTAAATAAATCTTTATACATTTTAATAGTTATATGATAAAAATAATTTTTTGTAGTACGTTTCGGTATGTCATTTTAGTAGTAAATTACGGTATGTGACGTATTCTATAAACTCTTACATTATCATTAAGTTTTTATAAATATAAATTAATTTAAATGAAATTTGGTATTTGGAAGTGAACATAATTTGTTTAACTACCATTGATATAGTATTTTTTTTTGTTAATCAAAATGAATATAAAGTAATATATATTTAAAAATATATTAGATATTCACAGCTCTTTTACTAAATTCTTCTACTAAATCCTTACCGGCCGCCCCTTTTACTAAATTCTTTGGCGGGAACTAAATCCCTACAAATCCCACCGATTCAACCTCACGATTAGAAATTTCTCTTTCCCTTTTATACAACCCCTAACCCTAGAATTCGTAATCTTTGTCCCAAAGAAAAGCAGTCGAAGGAGGAGAAAAAGGCCCAAAAATGCTTGAGCTTAGGCTAGTTCAAGGCTCGCTTTTGAAGAAAGTGTTGGAAGCGATTAAAGATTTGGTCAATGACGCGAACTTCGACTGTTGGCGACGGGGTTCTCGTTGCAAGCCACGTAGCGTTGGTGGCTCTGTTGCTGAGATCGGAAGGTTTCGAGCACTATCGCTGCGACAGGAACATTTCCATGGGAATGAATCTCAATAACATGTCCAAGATGCTGAAATGTGCCGGGAATGATGATATCATAACGCTCAAGGCCCATGATGGAAGCGATACCGTTACTTTCATGATCGAGAGCCCCAGTAAGTTCATCGTTTCTCTGGGCTCTTTTGACATCTTTTATTATTGAGGTCTTAGTCTTAAATCAAGACAGATTCTTAAAGATTTGCTAGTTTTGTTGTCAATATAAAGATGATCTGACACTCCTTGTGCGTATTATGTACGCGTTAATGGGATTAAAGCACAAGACAAGATATCAGATTTCGAGATGAAGCTGATGGATATTGACAGTGAGCACCTTCGAATTCCGGAGGCGGAATACCAATACATTGTTAAGATACTGTTAAAAACATTTTGATATTTTGATATAATAAATTAAGTTAAATGAATTTTAAGATTTTTTAAAATGATTTTTTAAGTATATTCGATATAATTATTTGAATATCAAAACATTACTCAAAATATTTCAAAAATCATTTTTAATCCTTACTTAAGTGTAAAATTAAGTTTTAATCTTAAAATAATTTCAAAATAATCTTTCAAAGTATTTCGAATCATTTTAAAGCCAAAAATTCCAGATTGTTTAGAGGGAACCCGATTCCTCCCAAGGGAGTATCGATTCCCCGTAAATGGTTTGGCTCCGAGATTTCCAGAATGCTCGGAGGGAACTGATTCCCCCATAGGGGTACTGATTCCCCCCTGTTCAACGGTCGAAATATTTAAATTTTACACTTAGGGAACCGATTCCCCATAGGGGGTACCGATTCCCCCCACGCTCCAAACTGTTTTATTAATTGTTTTCACACTAAAACGACTATATGATCTTCACTAATCATCCCAACGTTCAGAAGAGATTCAATATGTATTTAAACAAGTTCTGAAGCCCTTGATCAACAAGAAAACATAGAGAAACAAGAGAGAAAGCATCAAACACCAAGTTTGTGAAAATCAAATCAATTTTCCTTTCAATATTCATTTTGCTTTCAAGAACACCATTTGTGCTCATTTGTAATTATCTTTGAGTGTTCTTTTCTTGTTCTAGAATTGTGCAAACATCTTACCTTGTGAGGTTTTCTTGTAAGTTTGCAAATTTGTAATCTTCTCTTTGGGAAAAAGAGTGTTCTCAAGAGTTGGGGTATACTCTTAAGGGATTTTGTAAGGTTATCTCTTTGGCCTCAAAAGAAAGAACAAATTAGTGAATTTGTTGGAAAATCCTTAGTGTGGATAGCTAAGGTAGTGGACGTAGACTTTGTTTGAGAAAGTCGAACCACTGTAAATCGCTATGCAATTACTTTCAATTTTTCTGCAAAAGCTTCCACGTAATCTTTAATTGCCAATTCACCCCCCTCTTGGCCGATTCCGTCGATCGATTAACTCAACAATTGGCATCAGAGCCTAACTCATTTGAAGGTTTAATCGCCTCTTGAGTCGATTCGGGAAGAGTTATATCGATTATTAAAGTCATCAATGGCCTCCGCTTCAAACTTCGACTCCGGTCTCGATTCGATGCCCGTCAACAAGCCTCCTTTCTTCAATGGAGCTAACTATGCCTATTGGAAGAATAGAATGATGTACTTCATTCAAGCAAGTGACATGAGAGCATGGAATGATGTAGAAGAAGGATACATCAAACCTCTCACTCATCCAAAGTTGTGGAGTGAAGGAGAGACAAGAATGTTCCAGCTCAACTCCAAAGCCATCCATATTATTTTTTGTTCTCTTGGACCAGATGAATACGGAAGATTTCATCGTGTACAACCGCCAAAGAAATATGGGACAAGCTTCAAATCACACATGAAGGTACAGATGAGGTAAAGAAATCAAAAATTAGTATTCTAACGCATAGCTATGAAAATTTCAGGATGAAACCAAATGAAGACATCAAAGCTATGACAGATAGATTTTCAACGATTGTCAATGGTCTCAAATCATATGGAGAGATCATCTCAAATGAAAAGCTTGTGAGGAAGTTAGTATACTCCCTCCCAAAATCATGGCAATCAAAGAAGATGGCAATCATCGAGTCTAAGGACCTATCGTCCTTAACTCTTGAAGAACTTATTGGTTCACTCCTCACTCATGAGATGATGCTTGAAGATGAGGTGGACCTTGATAAAGTTGAAGAAACACCAAAGGAAAAGGAGAAGAAGAAAAATATTGGAGTTGCTCTCAAATCCACAAAAGATGAGAGTGATTCTAATAATGATGATGATGACGAGGAAATGACATTGTTTGCCAAACGGTTCAGAAAAATGATGAGACCTTACCAAGGAAGAAAATTCAAACGAAACGAAGGCCTCAAAAATGAACCAAAAGAGAAGGACCCAATCATTTGCTATGAATGCAAAAAGCCGGGGCATGTCAAATATGATTGTCCACAATTGAAGAAAAATGGTCAATCAAAGAATAAGCACAAGGCTCATGTGGCTACATGGAGCGATGAAGAAAGTTCCGATGAAGAGGAACAAGAAGTAGCAAACTTGTGCTTGATGGCATTCGGGGAAGATTCTAAGGTAACCTCTAACTCATCCGATTTTGATGATTTATCTTATGATGAGTTGTTTGAGGAGTACAATGGGTTGGCTTCGGATTATGAGAAATTGTTTTTAAAATATAAAAATGATGTTTCAAAATTGAAAAATGAAAACAAACTCATATCCAAAAACCAACAACGATCTTGAAAGTAAAATCAAAGATTTGAAAATCAAACTAGAAGAGTTTGAAAAGAAAATTTTAGATTTGCAAAATTTACTTTCAAAGATCAATGATGATCATCAAAAGAAAATTGATGATCTTAAAACTTCTTTTGATAAAGTTGGAACAAAACATTTTGAAAAAGGTGGAAATTCAAAATCCAACTTTGTTAGAAAAAGTTTTAGAAACTACAATCATAGAGGTCCCCAAAGAACCTCTAATGGAAAAATCATTAGAAGTATGTGGGTTCCTAAAGAACTCATTACTACTAAAGATAAAAATATCCTACACAAATGGATACCTAAGGGGACTAGGATTTTGGAAACTAATGAATATGGACCCAAAAGAATTTGGGTACCAAAAAATCAAAAATTAATCTATATTTGTAGGGAAAAGGAGCATTGCTACAAGGCACGTGAAACAAATTCAAATTCATGGTACCTTGATAGTGGATGCTCAAGACATATGACCGGAGACAAAAGCCGGTTCATTGAGCTTAACGCCAAAAATGGAGGAGAAGTGACTTTTGGAGACAATTCAAAAGGTCACATTGAAGGTATTGGTACAATAGGTAATACCTTTTCCATACAAATTAAGAATGTTTTATATGTGAATGGATTAAAGCATAATCTATTGAGTATTAGTCAATTATGCGATAAAGGATTCAATGTCTTATTTGAAATTAATGGTTGTAAAGTCATTGACATTGCATCTAATCGGATTATGCTTGTTGGTCATAGAATAGGAAACATTTACATGGTGCATTTAGATTCTATTGATATGACTAATTTATGCCTAGTTGCTAAGGATGAGCATGATAGTTGGTTATGGCATAGGAGACTATGTCATGCTAGTATGAGTGTTTTGCAACGGTTAATTCAAGGAGACTTAGTAAGAGGGTTGCCTAAGCTTAAATTTGATAATGATAAAATCTGTGATGCATGTGCTAAAGGAAAACAAAAGCGAGTTTCTTTTAAATCTATTAATGATGTATCAACTAGTAGAGTATTACAATTGATCCATTTAGATCTTTTTTTGGCCAACTAGAACTACTAGCTTGGGAGGAAAACAATATGCATTTGTCTTGGTAGATGACTATTCTAGATACACTTGGGTTCTATTCTTAAGTACTAAAGATGAAGCATTAGAAAATTTCATCACATTTTCAAAAATAATCCAAAATGAAAAAGGTTACTTTATCACTAGTGTTAGAAGTGATCATGGAACTGAATTTGAAAATCTTGGATTTATTGAGTTTTGTAATTCTAATGGTATTAGCCATAATTTTTCAGCACCTAGAACCCCTCAACAAAATGGAGTTGTTGAGAGGAAAAATCGAACTTTAGAAGAAATGGCTAGAACCATGCTTTGTGAAAATAATTTGCCAAAATATTTTTGGGTGGAAGCCACAAATACCGCTTGTTATGTTGTAAATCGAGTAATGATTAGGCCAATTTTAAAGAAAACTCCATATGAAATTCTCAAAAATAAAAAAGCCTAACATTAGCTATTTTCATCCTTTTGGATGTAAATATTTTGTTTTAAACAACGATAAAGAAAACCTTGGCAAATTTGATGCTAAAAGTGATGAAGGAATTTTTCTGGGTTATTCCTTAAATTCTAAAGCTTGTCGTGTATTTAATAAAAGAACTTTAGTTGTAGAAGAGTCTATACATGTTGTTTTCGATGATAATCCCCTTTCGAGGAAGGATTCTTCTGTTAATGATGATGTAGGTATTGTACAAGCAAATGACGTTAGACATGACGTTGGAGAATCATCATCAAAGGAAGAAACAAAAGATGAGGAAACTCATGATCCCCTCGAGAATCCAACCAGTGAAGAAAGGGAAGTATCTTTTCCAAGAGAGTACAACTATGTCAAGGATGGTGAAATTATAGGTGATCCATCAAAAGGGATAACTACTCGATCTTCTCTTAGAAATATATGTAATTATGTTGCATTTATTTCATGCATAGATCCTAACAACATCAAAGAAGCATTAAAAGATGAACATTGGATTATGGCTATGCAAGAAGAATTAAATCAATTTGAGAGAAGTAAAGTATGGACATTAGTTGAAAGGCCTAGTAATAAATCTACTGTAGGTACTAGATGGGTTTTTAGAAATAAACTTGATGAAAGTGGTAATATAGTGAGAAACAAGGCTAGACTTGTTGCTCAAGGGTATACTCAAGAAGAGGGCATAGACTATGATGAAACATACGCTCCCGTAGCTAGGATGGAAGCAATTAGAATGTTATTAGCATTTGCATGTTTTCATGAATTTAAATTATATCAAATGGATGTTAAAAGTGCATTTTTAAATGGTTTTATAAAAGAAGAAGTGTATGTGGAACAATCTCCAGGTTTTGAAGATTCAAAATTTCCAGATCACGTTCTTAAATTGACAAAAGCTCTTTATGGTTTAAAACAAGCTCCTAGAGCTTGGTATGAAAGATTGTCAAATTTTTTAATTGAAAAAGGTTTTTCAAAAGGAAAGGTTGACACTACATTGTTTTTAAAGCATAAAGGTAAAGATTTATTAGTAGTTCAAATTTATGTTGATGATATAATATTTGGCTCTACTAATGATGTTCTTTGCCAAGAATTTTCTAAGCTAATGCAAAGTGAGTTTGAGATGAGCATGATGGGGGTGCTCTCATTTTTCTTGGGACTCCAAATCAAGCAAAGAAAAGATGGCATCTTCATTAATCAAGCTAAGTACGTCAAAGATATGCTCAAGAAGTTTGGACTGGAAAATGGGAAACCTCATAACACTCCAATGAGCTCTTCAACAAAGCTTGACTTAGATGAAGGAGGTAAATGTGTAGATGTTAAATTATATAGGTCAATGATTGGCTCTTTGCTTTATCTAACCGCAAGTAGACCGGATATTATGTTTAGTGTTTGCTTGTGTGCTAGGTTTCAATCATGTCCTAAAGAATCACATTTACTAGCGGTTAAGAGAATCTTTAGATACCTTAAGGACACTCCTAGTTTAGGACTTTGGTATCCTAGAGACTCTAGCTTTAGCTTGCATGCCTTTTCTGATGCGGATTATGGAGGATGCAAATTAGATAGGAAAAGCACCTCCGGTACTTGTCAATTCCTTGGAAACATGCTGATTTCTTGGTTTTCAAAGAAATAAAATTGTATTGTATTATCTACCACTGAAGCGGAATACATTTCAGCCGGTAGTTGTGCACAAGTTTTATGGATGAAACAACAACTTTTTGATTATGGAATTGAAGTAGGTACCATTCCTATCAAGTGTGACAATACTAGTGCTATTTGTCTCACTAAAAATCCCATCCAACATTCTAGAACTAAGCACATTGAAATAAGACATCACTTCATTAGAGACCATGTCACTAAGGAAGATGTAGTTCTAGAATATGTTGATACTTTGCATCAATTAGCGGATATCTTTACAAAACCCTTAGACAAGGAAAAGTTTTGGACACTTAGAAGAGAATTAGGTTTAACTAACCTATCTTCACTTAGTGTTTAAAATAATTTAGCACTTTTAATAAATACTGAAAAATGCTTATAATAATAATTTTTTATTGCATTCTTGCTATTAGTTAGGGGGGGTTTATGATTCTTAGTGAAAATTAATTTTATGTTCAAATAATGTTTAAAGATTAATTTAATTGTTTGAACATAATTATTTTTCAATATATGAGTTGCCTATACTACTAGAGAAGATTAATTTAGCATTTTATGTGCTTAAAAGTCAGATTTTAGCATTTTGGTACAGAGGGAATCGATCCCCCCATAAGGGAACTGATTCCCCCTTTGAAGGGGAACCGATTCCCCCACAGGGGAATCGATACCCCCCTGGGGTTCTGTTAAAATCGGGCAAGAACACCCAAAACCCCAAAACCTATTCCGTCGTTTCTCTCCCTCAAACACTCAAATCTCCATTCTTGCCTCAAATCATTGATTTTAATCGAAAATCACTTCAAATATCATCTCCTAAACTTGCAATCATCATTAAAATCGTGCAAACAACATCTAAATCCCCTCAATCTTCATCTTTCAAGGTAAATTTTTTTAAACTCTCTATTTCATTGATTTTGAACATAGGATTAGTTTTAATTAGTTCTAGGTTGAAATAGTGATCGGACATTGATTGTTTAGTGATTAGAAACTAGATGTTACAACTAATTTCATCAAAAACACAAAAATTTTCCAAAAATTTTAAATTTTCGAAATTAAAAAAAAAATTATTGTTGTTTTTCAAATCATTGTGTTTTGATTAAATTATGTTATTGTTATGAAAACTATACATATATTGTTTCTCAAAACCATATTTTTTAAAAAAAGTTTTTCAAAAACTTTGCCCATTAGGATTGATTTAGAGAACCTTGAAATATTGAGGACTCAATTGAGTTTTGGGATTAATTGAATTGCATACATTTGTTTTTAAAATTGCAGGTTATCCAATCTATTCTGATTTCCTTCACCATGTCTAATCCTAAACGTGCTAGGTCTTCATCTAGTCGTTCACACCGATAACCAAATCCACCTCCAAATCCTCCACCTATTCCAATTTCTACTCCTAATCCTATTGATCCTAATTTGACTATCCAAAATTCGTGTTTCAGTCATCCTGGTCCTAGAAATCATCGTTTTTGGTATTATCAATATTTCGACTCTTACAAAATCCGGGAAGAACGTATTCCTTCTCGTCAAGCTATGTTAGCTATCAATTTTAAATATCTTCCTCTTTTACAAGAGTGGAAATTTGATAAACTCTTTGACCTTGAACCCATCGTTTACCATCACCTTGTTCGTATTTTCTATTCTAATGTCGTTTGTGTTAAAGACCAAACTGAAACCAAAACCATAGGAATTTGTTCCTACCTTCTAGGACAATTCTTATATATTGACTCGGCTTACATAGCCAATACATTCGGATTAGATAATGAAGGGATTTCAAATGAAAAACAGGTTTTAGGATCTTGTTATAAAAGAAGGGATAGTGCAAGTGTCCTAGACCTTCATGAACGTTTTCTTCATCTAATGATTTCTTGGTGGTTTCGACCATCTGGAGGTCGTTATTCTACTCTTAGAGCCTTAGATCTTTGGTGGTTACATTGTTTCGAAAACAATATTAAAATCAACCTACCTCAGATTATTTTTGCTGAAATTGTTGAAACCGCAAATCTTGTTCCTAATAAAAAACTTTGTTCATCTCTTGTTTACGGTTGTATTTTGAGTAATCTGTTTTCCAAAGCTGGGCTTAGAGTCGGTCTAGATGTCGTTTTTCCTCTTAAGAAACAAATTAACCTTCTTTCCTTAACGAGAGCGGGATGGATTAAGGATAAGGAAACCGGGGAATGGGTTCGAACTTCTACAACTACTCCGGGAGCTAGTTCTTCACAAGCTCCACCCGAAGCTGACGAAGATCTCGAGCTTGAGAAACTAATGCGAGACATCGATGAAGCTGAAGCTGAACCTGAGCAGGCCGAGGAGCAGCCCGAAGAGCAAGCACAACAATCGACTCAAATGCATCCATATTTTTAATCTTTTATGGAGACATTTGATTACCGATATGTGACCATGGATTCGCGCTTTATTTCTATAGAGTCCCATTTATCCACAATGGGAGCTCAACAATTAGAAATTCTTCGGGAAATGCGTGCAAATAATGAAGCAACCAACGCACGTATTAATGACCTCACTAACGAAATGGCCGCTATGCGAGCTCGTTTTCCTCCTCCTAATCCGGATATATGATTAAATGTTTTACTTTGTTTTCCAAACTTATTGTTTTAACATTTTGAATATTTTGGGATGTTTGAATTTGAGGATTGTGAACTTGTTTGGATTTATGGATGGTTTGAACTTATATGTTTGGTGTGATTTATTTATTATTGCATCATTTACATCATTATTAGCAATATGACCAATTTTGCCATATCACATTATTTATGAATATTGATTACGGAACTAATGGCTAACGTTTCTCTTAATTGTGATCTTAGCAGCTTATGCATACATATACCTAATCAATTGGCTTAATATTTTTCACGTTTATTTGAATCTTTTTGATTTAACAAAAAGGGGGAGAAGTGTGTTTTTAAAATGATAAATGGGAGAAGTGTTAAAGTAAGGGGGAGTAATTTCAAAACTTGATTTCAAAATCTTAAAATTACTAAAATGTTTTGTTATATCAAAAAGGGGGAGATTGTTGAAAACATTTTGATATTTCGATATAACAAATTAAGTTAAATGAATTTTAAGATTTTCCAAAATGATTTTCTAAGTATATTCAATATAATTATTCGAATATCAAAACATTACTTAAAATATTTCAAAAATCATTTTTAATCCTTACTTAAGTGTAAAATTAAGTTTTAATCTTAAAATAATTTCAAAATAATCTTTCAAAGTATTTCGAACCATTTCAAAGCCAAAAATTCCAGATTGCTCAGAGGGAACATATTCCCCCCCAAGGGGGTACCGATTCCCCCTGAATGGTTTGGCTCCGAGATTTCCAGAATGCTCGGAGGGAATCGATTCCCCCATAGGGGGTACCGATTCCCCCTGTTCAACGGTCGAAATATTTGAATTTTACACTTAGGGAACTGATTCCCCATAGGGGGTACCGATTCCCCCCACGCTCTAAACTGTTTTATTAATTGTTTTCACACTAAAACGGCTATATGATCTTCACTAATCATCCCCAACGTTCAGAAGAGATTCAATGTGTATTTAAACAAGTTCTGAAGCCCTTGATCAACAAGAAATCATAGAGAAACAAGAGAGAAAGCATCAAACACCAAGTTTGTGAAAATCAAGCCAATTTTCCTTTCAATATTCATTTTGCTTTCAAGAACACCATTTGTGCTCATTTGTAATTATCTTTGAGTGTTCTTTTCTTGTTCTAGAATTGTGCAAACATCTTACCTTGTGAGGTTTTCTTGTAAGTTTGCAAATTTGTAATCTTCTCTTTGGGAAAAAGAGTGTTCTCAAGAGTTGAGGTATACTCTTGAGGGATTTTGTAAGGTTATCTCTTTGGCCTCAAAAGAAAGAACAAATTAGTGAATTTGTTGGAAAATCCTTAGTGTGGATAGCTAAGGTAGTGGACGTAGACTTTGTTTGAGAAAGTCGAACCACTGTAAATCGCTGTGCAATTACTTTCAATTTTTCTGCAAAAGCTTCCACGTAATCTTTAATTGCCAATTCACCTCCCTCTTGGCTGATTCCGTCGATCGATTAACTCAACAGATGCCTTCAGCTGAGTTGGCAAGGATTTGTAAAGATCTTGCTAGCATTGGTGATACTGGTACTGCTGAAACTTTTTGCTTTAAATGATTTGATGTTTTATAGAATCATGATACGTTGTTATTTTATGGAATGTTGTCGTTTATGAACAAAAACTGACCATAATCGACTATGGTATCATCCATTATGTTTGTCCCATGTACTTGTTCAAAGTAAACTCTTCTTCGATGTGGTTTGCAGTTGTTATCTCTGTAACCAAAGGTGTGATATTTTCCGCAAGAGGTGATATTGGAACTGCAACTATTGTTCTCAGGCAAAATACCTCAGTGGATAAAGTATGCTTTTTACCCTTTAGGACTGCAATTTTGTAGTTATTAGGCTCAAATTATTGTTTTGTCCATTGAGCTTATAAAATTAATAAAATGATCATTAAATTTATTTAACTTTTATAGGTATAGTTATTAGCCAAACTATTATTATTCTTGATATGATATCGATTGTGTTTCGAGGATCGTGATTCTAATAAGAAACCCCGCAGTGCTTGAAATGATTCTGAAAGTGCAAAATTAACGTTGTGAATATGAGATAAACAAATAAAGAATGAAATTGAAAAAGATGTGGATGGATTTGAAGTGGGTTTCAAATGAAAGAAGTGCGGTGGTGATAACGGTTGAATGAATGTAACGAAAATGGTGAAGGATAGTTGTAGTCGGCGAGGAGGATGATATAAATTCAAAGGATGGATTGTGACCCATTAGCTATATAAGAACCAACAATTAATATGATGGAATCGAGGTGGAAGAGGATGAAACGTGACTCACTAGCTATAGGTGAGCTACTAACCGACGTTATAATAAAATGAAATTGAGGTGCCTATTTATAGTGTTGATAGGTACCATATGAAGAGTTTTTACAATTAAAATAAACAATCACCTAAATGCAATTGAATTCAATTAAATGACTTGTCATTCTTCTTATCCTTTGATGGTTGTCTATGTAGATTGAAATGGATGAATTAAGATTTAATTTGAGATAATTCTAGCCTTAAATTCGTCCAAAAAAGAGAAGTGACTCTTGGGCTGCCTTGCTTTGCTTGCAAATGGAAGAAAATATGATAAATGAAGTCATAGGATAAATGTGGACATCTTACATGTCCAAATCAACTTGTCTCTTCAAATTTCTTGATGATTTTATCACTTAATTTGGTGGTTAAATGAAATAAAATCAGCCTTCATTTCTTGTTCCATTGTAGAATATGACCAGCCTTCAAAAGATGATAAAGGCTTTGAATGCTAAGTTTTGAATGTTGGTTATTGCATGTCCCCTTGCTTGAACATGAATGGCTTTCAATGGGTGATAACATCAACCTTGAATGCATTGCATTGGTGAATTAAGATGTCCATCAATTGCTTGTCTCTTGGTAGAAGATGAAAGGAGTATTCCTTGGCTCATACTCATCCAAATCATCATTGTATAAAATTCGCGTAATGAAAATTCCAGCTTACACTGTCTTCAGTAAATCGATCATATCTCAAGTTTCCGATATCGGATTTAGGTGATTCAAAAGGCGTTAGAAAGCTAAGAGATAGAGGAATAATTTCCAATTGATTTATGGACCCAAAAAGTCTGTATCAGATCCAAAATTAGAAGACATTCTAGCAGATATTCTTGCATCTGTTGAAATCATTCAACTTTTTTCATGCACCTAGACACAAAGGTGAACTTTATTCAATATTTAATTGAAAACATGCATGAAAAAATTAAGAGTTAGTCTAGTAAATGAACTAATTTGATGAATGAACTAGTTTAATTAATGAACTAGCTTTATTCAATGAACTAGATGCATGAATGAAGTAGCATAGTAAATGATCTAAATATGCATAAATGAATTACTTCCCTAAATGAACTAGATACTTTAAATGCAATGAATGCTTAAATAAACAACACACTTATTAAATGCAATAAATGTCATGCAACTAATAAAACTATGCAAATTCATGCAATAAATGATATCATATGATAAGCATATCCTAAGAGGTAAATACAAACATATGATAAAATATAGTGCATAAATGATCATGTATAGGATGAAGTAAGGTAGAACTCCCTTTGAATCAACTTTAGTGAACTTAAATGATTTAATCAGATCAAGAAGAAGGTTAGGGCTGATTGGGATCACATCATTCCCTCACTCTTTAATGTGATTTGTCCTATAACCCCCTCAGACCGATACGAGTAACTCGATCCGATCTGAAGTGTCACATTAGGGCCATTGGAGCGACCCACTGTAAAAATAGTGGAAAATTTAAAACTTTTATTAAAACATGTAACTTATAAAATGATTTATCAGTATGCAGAAATAAAACAGATTTTCAGACTCGTATATAAAACAAAATACAATTACATGCCCCCTAATCACATGTACCATTCTCTGCAAGCAACGTCGAAAGAACTTCTTTACTGATGTCGATAGATGCACTGATACGATTCTTTTAACCTGAAAAGATGAGTAAAGAGTGAGCTTTGGAAAGCTCAGTAATACAGAATTACCAGATGATGCTGAAGAACGTGCATATACAGATAAACATATATTTCCTTATTGGTTCTGAACATCTACATATTTTTATGCTAAGCGGAGATCCTACTGATATTTCAGGTGGTAACGGACAATGAGCTTTCAGTTCAGGTAAATATTTCGAATGACTGAGTTCATGAGATCAAAATAGGTTATCTATTATGTTCCCGCAAAACCAGTAAAAAGATACAGATCTTTTTTTAAAACAATAGCATTTTAAAACATATTTACCCTATTCACAAAGCAGAGGAGCATGCAAAAACGATAAGGCCTTACCCTTGCACATAGCAAAAGAGCTTGGGAAACTATAAGGTCTTACCCTTGCACACAACATAGAAACCTAGGGAAACTGTAAGGCTTACCCTTGTACACAACAAAGGAACCTGGGGAAACTATAAGGCTTACCCTTGCACACAACAAAGGAACCTGGGGAAACTATAAGGCTTACCCTTGCACACAACAAAGGAACCTGGGGAAACTGTAATGCTTACCTTTGCACACAGCAAAGGAACCTGCGGTAACGATAATTAAAATATGAAAATTTTCCATATTTAGAAATCATGTACAAAAATATCGTAACCAAAACCCATATAAAAAATTTGTGGTAAATCAATTATCAAAATAAACTGTATTCAGAATATTGGGTATTGTCTCATAAAAATATGCAGTATGTGATTTATCAAGATCATATTTTCCAGTTAAAACAGAAAACCCGATAATATATTTCAAGTAACCATAGTTCATAAAACCAATAGATTCCATGATGTCATAAATAAGGAATAATTCATATTTTTCAGTGAAACCCATAATCGAAAAACATATAACATGTTACCATGGTTCATAAACTTGTAAATCAATAATTTCGGTGAAACTCATTTAAAAACATATAAAATCGTCATGTAGTACATGTGGAACACACTAGGATATCCAAGTATTTCTCAGAGACACTTAGTAGTTATCAGAATGTATAACATGAAAGTGATGTAATTTGATAGGATTCAAAAAATGAAGTCCTATTGAATGGAATCGATTACTAACCGATCTAATCTGATATTTAAGGTTGATACTTTAGAATTACACTATGATTCATGTGCATCAGAAAAGTGTTCAGAAACCTTTATACAAAATATGTCGATTGATCTGATTATCAAACAACTCGAAATGAACACCTCCCATAATTAATGTTTGTCGACTGGTCAATTCATTTCCTTCCAGGGTATTTATTCTTTAATACCAAAAATTCTTGTCCATTGATTATCTTCAGAATCATCGACGAATAAATCTTCCAATGGTCTCTATTTCATTTCCACGTTTCAACGATACCATGAAATGGTGATGTGCTTGATTTGTAGTCCATGACCCATAAGGACAGTACATCATGTAAGTTCATTAGCATTCCCAGACTCATCCAAATCACTTATTTAATCATCAGTCATTGAGCTTACTTAGTTCACTTAGTAATCAAGTCTATCTCGGTTACATCAAAGTTTTACAGAGTAATTCAGACATTTCTGAATTTTGGATACATATTGTACTTATGTTCAGTTCAAATTGGTCTTCTTGGTTGATTTTTCTAATGAATATCCACTTCTTAGTACCGAATGCGATCTAGAGTTGAACTGAGTACTTTAATAATTATTATCGATCCAAACTTAAGGAGACGAACAAGCATTCAAGTAGCATCTATGCCATTCAGGTACTGATATAACCCTAGCATTGGTTGACCAGTTTAATATGTGTTCCATAACTTTTAAAGGTAGTACAACACCTATGCTTATTTGGATTCCTTATTTAATCCAAGACATTTACTTAATATAGTCCATAAGGGTATTTTGGTAATTTTGGTTCTCAATATTTTTCCATTCATTTCAGAGCTTGAGGATAATCATTCATTCTTGGGCTTGGTGATATTCTTAGGTCATTTTCATTTGAGGGGTATTTTTGTCATTTTACAGATTCAGGGTATTTAAATCATTTCCTTCCGTCTGATCTTATTACTTAATTTAAACTTATCATCTATTCCAGTCCTTTCGAACAATTCTTATAAAGAAGCATCCTCAATAATATATTCTTCAAGTATATACTCTTAACTTGGAGACTTTCAGGTCAATTACTTTCTCAGATGTTACAAACAGGTTATCATGATTTTTCTGTACAAAGATAGGATTTTAACAATTAAATCTGTAATTTATCGGGTTAAGTACGAATTCTCAAAGTATTTTCTCGTTCATGGTCAACTCAGATTATTTTTACCTCTTAAGGGCATTTTTGTAATTTTCTAACCCGATAATTTCAGTATTAAAACTCTTAACAAGAATAATTATAATTTAGAGATTCTAGGATTAATCGTTTTCCCGGATAATCTCTAAACTTTAAATTATTCCTTTACAAAACTTCTAGTATCTTGTACAAGCAATCTTTGATTTAGAAATCGGTTATTCAGATTTCCTAAGCAAAACCAGTATTTTCTGTACACATCAGTGGTTTCATCATACCAATATGTCTTTAAAATTCTTATCAAACTTCTAGAGTCAATTCTTGTCTTTATTACAATATAAGGGTATTTTTGTAATTTTACCTAATCGAAGTATTCTCATAATATATCATCCAAGTACCTTTAATGAGATAAATTATAATTTACATATTCAGGACTGATTCCTTTATCACTTAATCACAAGACTTTAAATTCAATAGAATCTTAACTAATTTATCACTTAAATCGTATTCAGTTCGAATCTATCCATAATCAAACAGGCATAA